ATCCACATTGAAGCTTGACCACGACGGATCCGCTTCCAATAAACCGTGTGTTTACGCGTGTCAACGCCTGACACGTTAATCCTCCGAATCTACCGGACTGCGACAACCTTTTTAATATATAGTAAATTACACATGACCATAGCGCAATACATAAACTTACTAATAATATGTCAAACTTAATTAAGAACTCGAAAACAATATATGTTTAAGACATCATCATTCTTCTATTTTTAGCGAGCACAAACATACATGTGAAATATTAGTGCGAGAGTGATATGTGTATATTGATGAGAGAGTGATATGCGTCGAGAGTGATATGTGTCTATATTCTAGCGTCATAAACCCTATAAATTGCTTTTTAGAGATTGCATTTTGCAATTTATTGTTCTGAACAATCTCTTCTTCATTTTGGCTGATATTATATATGTAAATTTTTTTCTCAGTATATGTATATATCTATACGACATATGTTGTAGCAACTCTTGTTATAATTATTATTATTTTTTTCAGAAAAAGCAAAAACACAGGCACGCTACCTTTGCCATTAGCATAAGCATATTTTTATTATTTATTTCTAAGACAAAATTGATAGCTGTTCCTTGATATTTAAATTGATTGAGCTAAATTGTACAAACGTAGAAAATTCGTAATTGAATATGAGATCGACTCGTCATTTTGAATTAAATTAAGTTAGTGTTAAGGTTAAATTTCATTATCCATTTCTCACCGCATATGTGTCATCACGTGTCTCGGATAATAAGATCAAATTATGAAATCGTTAGTTAAAATAGGCTTCGAGCAGTCGGTTGCTTGCGGAGTCCCAGCGTTGTCTGAACGACTAATCCAACAGCTCACCAGACGAGCAGTCAAACAAACATGCTAGCTCAGCATTCGAAAATTAAGTATGAAGATCTCATCTCTAGCAAGGATATTTGACATTAAACCACGGGATCACGTCCAGAAAAACGAAGGGGAAAGTTAATCATCCTACATGTTTGCTCCATAAGCATCATCCCTATAAGAAAGATTTTTTAGAGGATCATCAATCAAAAGTCAAACAGGAAACTACCCAAAAGCTTATTTTCAGCCACCAAGAGCCTATAAATGCATACCATAGGCGTCCAAGACAGGGGTTCACGCATTCCTACAAACGCTTTCATCCCTCCAAGCACATTTACTCTCTTTTTACATACTTTTTAGTATTTTTCTCATGCTGTTTCTTTTTATATTCACATAGAGCACTATTGTAATCATCTTCTTCAGTCATAGTGAAACTATTGAAGATCCTACAGTTGACGTACATTGAGTTATCAGGAGAACTATTATAACATCTCTGTGTCCCTATTTCTTTTATTTTTCTGTTGATTTATTTCATTGCTTACGTGATACTAACATCATCCTCCGAATTCAATTATTAACCCTCTAACAAATTTAATTTTAGATTTCACCCTCTACCGTTAATAGATCTTTTTTCTTTTTGGCTGAATTTTTAAGTGTTGTAGATATGAGTTGAGAATCAATATCCATACGCATAGATGCATTGTCTTTTGAATTATGAGTTCTTCGTTTGGTGAATTTTTGAACTGAGTTGTGTCATTAAACGGTGGAGTTCACTTTTGTGGCTAAACAAGCTTTTTATTAGAGCAAGGAATGGGACACAGATAAACAGTCCAGTGAGAGATGATAGTATTCACCGTGCGGAACCGTCCAAAGATGGCGCCGATGAAGAACAAGAATTAGGGATGAGGCAGACGGAAGGTGGCGACAGGAGAAGCACTCCGCCGCGCCATCGTCCTAATATTCATATATTATATAGTATATAAAATAAATATATTTAATATTAACTTTTTAAATATAATTAATTATTTTGTGGCTTTATTGTTAACTTTGGTTTGTATGTGTTTAGAATTCAGTTTGTATTGTGGAACCTTTGCTTTGGTTAAGATTTGTTGTGAATTTCAACTTTATTTTTTTTAAATGAGATTTCTGTATTTGAAAAATAAACTATTAGTAGATTTTTATTTTTTAATTATTAGATTTGTATTAAAAATGGTACGTTTTACATTTTTTTTTTATTTTTAATGTGATTTTGATAATATATTAAGCTCTATTATATTTTAAAATATTATAATTTTAAAATGTATAATTATATTAAATGAGAAATAAAACGGGTATTGAGAGGATTTTGATTTTACCTCTCCTTAAGAAGGATGGGAGACGGGAGTGGGGATGATCATTTTCCGCCTCCAGCCCATCCTATTTCCATTCGTAAGTGGAGTTTTATTTTCCTTGCTTTTAGAAGGGCTTTTTTCTCTTGGAAAAATTAACTTCCACAGTCGAGTTTACTTTAGAAAGATTACAAAGAATTATTTCACCATTACAAATACATTAGATAAAACTTTTAATTTTGGAAGGTTTTTGTTCTTTTTTAAATTAGGAAAATTGATCAAGCATCTGCTCAGACAACAAGGCACTATTGCAAGTCCAAGTCTTTTCTTTTTATCCTTGTTTTTTGTGGAATTGTTACTTGCAGTTGGAAAATATATTTTTAATGGAATTTTGCTGAAAAAAGATAATACTGATTTTCAAAATCCCTCCTCTAAATTAATAATAGCAGATTAAAAAAAAATTAAATTTAGTTTATTTATTTAGTTTTTGGTGCTGTATATGATATAACAAATTAGAAGATAGTTTTTATTTTTATTTTTTATTTTTATTTTTATAACTTCTTGGATAACATTTTAAGGCAGTATTTATAGTAGGAAAAGTTTTTAAGTAATACTAAATGCATACTCTATTACAGATACTATTTTAAATTTTTAATACGTGTCATCCTCACTTTTTCAAATAAAAAAACTTAGGGGATGTTTGGTAGAGGGATTCGTTTCCTGATTCGAATCATGATTCGTGGTTCGCTACAGTATTTTCTCTCACAAAAAATTTACGTAAATCAAAAATGGTTCGAATCACATGGTTTGAATCCTCTAACTAAACGTCCTCTTAATAACAAGTCATTCTTTTTACACTTAATTATAAGACTGTCATTCGTTTCTTTTGCTCCTAAATCTATCGACTTTACACTTTCCAGTCTAAGGGAAAAATAAGAAAAAGAGCTCAGAGATTTCATAATAAGAGAGAGAAATCTTATTCTCCATGGGCATTGGAAGATATTGATCTAAAGCAGCTGCGGCTTTCTTGTTGACGGCTTCGTTGGTTGCTTGCTGAACAGGTCAGGAAGCGAAAGCTCATTGTGATTCTCTTGATAAGAAGCCGTTGTAAAGATATATAAATTGGTGTTGTAATATTATTATTATTTTTTTTTTTGGTGTTGTGATTCGGACAAGAAGTCAGTCTTATTTTACGTTTGGTTCATAAATTAGAATTATTTTCGATTTACGTGTATTTTTTGTGAGAGAAAATACTGTAACGAATCACGAACTATGATTCGAATCAGGAAATAAATCCATCTACCAAACATCACCGGCTTGCATTGCATAAAAACTTCTAAAGTATATATTTTGCTCTTTGTTTTTAATCTTTATTATAGATGGTTTTTTTTTTTTTTGATGATTTTATGCTCCATTCCTAAGGTATATATACTGCTCTAGCTTTTTCTTATTCTTTGTTGTCGATGGTTTTTTCTTTTTTTCTTTTTGAAGTTATTGATATATATTTTGCTTAATTCTTTGAATTAATATTATTCATTTTGATAATTATGCTTCATTCTTGTTATGCTTCGTTATTTGGATGACTTTTTTTTTTGTCTCGTTTACTTTGTGGATTCGAGTTGAGATGCGATATTTTCTGAGAGCTTTTCACTGTAGTAGAAAAAGTTAGATGTGACATTTTATAAGAATTTTTTACTGTATAAACTTAAAACTGAAAACTCGAATTGATGAAATGAACGAGGTCTTTATATTTCATTCTTGATTGACAAAAGTTTATCTATGTTATCTTCCACTTTCAAATAGTTTTTTTTTTTCTTTTTTTATAAGATGAAATTAGTTTTTTTTTTTTTTTTTTGGGTAAGCTTGATATCAGATTGGGATGTTTATTGTTTAGTAAAGCAAATAAAAACTACAATGTACAAGAAGCGTGTGTGAGGTTGCGTCTAACTGCAGTTTTACGAGTTTTTAGCTATATTTTTCTGATTTTATTTTATTTTATTTTATTTTTTTCCTAGAGTCAGCAGATTTTGGAGCAAAGAAAAAGGAGTGGCAGTCTTGTAAATAAGTGTAAAAGAAATGACTTGTTATTAAGTTAGTTTGTTTAAGAAAATGAAGATGATACGTGTCAAAAAATTAAATTAACATCTATAATAGAATATGTATTTAATATTCCTAATAAATATTGTTATCACGTGTCAAAAAATTAAGCTAACATCTATAATAGAATATGTATTTAATATTCCTAATAAATATTGTTATTTTATTTTTTAAATTAATTTTTTAACAGTTAAATTTGAGATTAAAAACAATTGCATGTCGCGCATTAAATTTTTAACATACCATAACAATTGTCATATTCTGAAGGAAATATATCTAAAACATCTTGTGTGTTTTGTCAAAATATCATTTTTATTCCTTGTGTTTATAAAACTTTTAAAATTTAAAAAATGCTCAAACAAGTATTTCAATTAAAGAAAGACTTCAATTATTTTGAGAGTTTTTCATTTTTTAAAATTAATTTTATTTAAAATATTAGTTTAGTAATGTTTTAAATTGTATTTATTAAAGATTGAGAAGGAATGTCTTAATAGCTTAAAAAGATTAATTGTTTAGAAGTGTTTTGGGTCTGTTTTTATTAACACAAGGGATATTTTAGAAATTTAGATATCAAAAGAGATAAAAGTTATATTTGGACAGAATACAAAGTTAGACAAATAACCCGACTCCCAACAATTAACCCATGCATTTTCAGCAAAAAAAATAAAAAAAAATAAAAAAAAAACCCATGTACATATTTGTGAGTACGCGGCTCGTCCTTACAACACAAACAACAACAGGACCAGCATCAGATTATCTCCTAAAAATCGCTCCTCCCGAGTCGGCGAGTCTCATCCCAATCTCAACGACCCAAAACTCTCTCTCTCTCTCTCAATACTTTCTCTCTCTAGAAAACCTGCAATTTTTGGAACGACAGCATGATTTGGGACGAGTGGGAAGATTACAGCGTTCCAGGCGGCGAAGAATCCGACCAACACTCTCACCTCAATTTCGATTTCTTATCAAACCTCTCCAAGCCCAAGGTTTTGCCTTTACCTTTACCTAGCTTAATCCCTTTTTGCTTTCGGATTAGGGTTCTAAACCTGATTCTTACGTGTATATATTTGGTATAAGAAATGGGACAAGGAAGGGATTATTGACTTATCTGGAATGCGATTGAGTTTGTAGGATTACTACAAGATTTTGGAAGTTGGCTATGACGCTACGGACGATGCGATTCGATCCAATTACATACGCCTTGCCCTGGTCCCTCTCTTTTGCTTCATGAAAATTTGTTTCTTCCTTTCTTTTTTTTTTTTTTTTAGATTTTTATTTGTTTTCTTGAAATATTGTGCAGAAATGGCATCCGGATAAACAGAAAGATCAGGACAGTGCCACCTCCAGATTTCAAGAGATAAATGAGGCTTATCAAGGTTAGTATTTAGTTTTTATTTTTTTTTTAAAATAATTATAATGAGCTATTCGGTTTTCTGCATTTTTTCAGCATTACATGCTTTAGATTTTTAGCATTACTTCATAAGCTAGTGGGAAAAGAAAACCCAAACAGAATGTTCTTAAGTATAATGAAAGTGAGAAGCACGAGCTTTAATGTTTACTGTGGGCCTAACCTTAAGAAATACTGTAGGTTCTTTGTTGAAAAATGATTTAAATTTGGTACCTTGGAATAAACGTGAAGCCTATGAATATATACCGGCCTTTGTTTTGTTTTTTTGTTTTTTTTGTTTTTTTTTTTGTGACGTTTTTTTCATGGAGTTTTACAATGTAGAGCCTCCCGACAATATGTTGCTTTACCTAATGGGCTCTTTCAATTAGACTCTTGTTACTGCCTACTGATTATTGAAGATTCAAGGTTTATAACGAGATGATTTCTAGTGGCTTGATCACTTTTATTTACACTAAGTTATTGTGATATATAGTTGATTTTGGCTAGATAAGGTCCTTTCAGGAAAGAATAGATCGTTTTGATAAGATAAGTTGTGAAAGTGGCAGTTGAGGGCGGGTATGGCCTGAGTATGGTACAATTTGAACATGTATTTCAGAGAGGAAAACAAAACAAAAAAAAAAAAAAAAATCCATGGATTTTGGTTATGGTTCTCACAATGAAAACGGGTCGCTTTAAACTGTCTCTTAGACGTTTTAACTGTAGTTACTTCAACCTGTCCGTAACTGCATGAAGGAAATGTTGATGTCAGTGACGGTTGAAGAACTGCCTGCATATCATGAAGGGAACAAAGTTCTAAACTTTATAAGTAGCTTTGACCTGTAGACGGTGTGATAGTTGGTTGAAGTTATTCTTGGTAATAGGGTAGGGTGGGTTTAAGGGAGAGATCCCAGCCGCGAATTTTGGGAGCAGCTAGCAATGTATAGAAAAAAAAAAAGTTATTCTTGGTAATAAACTATTTGTATGGGAAAATTTTAATGACTAAATAAATGGTTGTTTGTCCATTGTTGAGGAGGTGAATGTGTTGTCAATTGTCAGTGGTATTCTATTGTTGAAAGTCAATCTTGTACCATAAGTACGTATATACAACACAATGATAATTGCATGGGGGATAAAGTTCATCAATATTAGAGTGTATGCGTGATCCTTGGTTTCTGATGGATGGCGTGGGTGCTTGGAGTTAGGCGTAGGGTTCATGACCTGACTGACTTGACAAAAGCAGTGCCATGTATTTAAGGTTTAATAATGTAAAGTTAAACAAAGTAGGGGATATATTTCTGTTTCTGCTAAAATCAGTGTGGTTTTATTGCTTAATTAAAAGAATGAGGTGTCTGTATTTCTGGAATAACGTTATAGTAATCCTTAATTCTTTTCTCATCCATGGTTCTGGCATGGTTTTTCTGAAGCATGTTAAATTTTGTTTTCTATCATGTGTGCAACAAATGCTTTCATCATTGTTGGCATAAGATGATCCTATAGCAAGATTTCATTTATGAAGAATGTAGAGATGGAAATAAGTTCAAGCCAACTTATCAAAGTCCCAATTTAGAGTAGTAATTGTTTTACCAGGATCTCTAATTGGTGTTTACCGAAGGTTTGTGTGAATAAGGGATTATGAATCAACTGGTTGATTTGCTTGTTGATGGAGTTATGTGACAATTAGCAATAGGACCAAAGAAAATGTTCTTTGACTTGATTGGCACATTAAATTAGTGTAAAATGATAGTATGCTGACGAGTTACTAAGGCCCAAGGTACTCTTCATTTCAGTCTTATCCAATATGCATGTGTGCTTGTTTCTATGTATGCATTGATTTCACATGTTTAGATTTGCAAGATAAATCAGTTTCTTCTTTTAATTAAATTTTGGTCATTTGCCATTCATTTTTTGTCTTTCTAGAATAAGTGTGCAGCCCCAGTTTAGGTCTGTTTGTATCTTCTTTTATAGAAGGGGCCTCATTATTAGAATAGTGAACAGAGAAGTTGAGAGGTAGCAGAATATATACCAAAACTATTTGTAATGATGTGACTCTCTTTTTGTCAAAAACAGTTCTGAGCGACCCTGTAAAGAGGAGAGAATATGACAGTAAGGGGATGCTATATGTCTTTGATTACAATTTAATTGTAAGCATTTCTCTTCCACTGCCCATAGTTCTCTCCATAAGCATGTACATTTTGCGAGATCATCTTCTCAGTTTTGATTTATTTGGCTGCAGGAGTATCTCAACCGTTACAAGGGCCTCATACTGACGTGTAATGGATTGGGGATAAGGCATTCAATTTGGTAAAGCCAATACAACATGCACAGATAGATATCCTTTTCAGTACATCCGGGAGAATTTGCATAATGAAATGCGACATAATTTTTGAATCTGCAAGTGGCTCATTTGAGGACAAGGGCCTGTGGTCTGGGTGCATTGAGGGTTACTACTGGCTTGTGCTTATGTATAAATAGAAACAAGAATATCACCATCATTGTGTGACATCTTGTACTTGCCTATGTTACCTCTTGTTGGAGGGTTGTGATTAAATAATAATCTTCTCTCTTGCTTATAATTTTATTATTAAGCAAGCAAAGATTACTGTATATACACGTATATATTCACACACACGCACACACGCACACTTTCAAATCAAAAGCTTGTTGTCCTATAAGAAGTGTGTGGCGAACCACCTGCGCGGCATAGGGAA